TGGGCGGGGGGGGGCGGGAAGGGGCGGCCATGGGATGGGCTCGTGCGCCCTCGGGCCTCGCTCTGCGTGTGCGCCAGGCTCCTGCTCGGTCGCTGGTCTCAGCCCCAGCCCCGATGCCTCCTGCCCGCAGGCCCGCTCACTGCCTGTGTCTCTCCTCCTGCCCCCAGCAAGCTGACGCGGGAGAGCGGGACGGATTTCCCCATCCCAGTGATCCCGGCCGGGCCCGACGCGGAGACGGAGAAACTCATCCGGGAGAAGGACGAAGAGGTGAGGGCCGGGCCTGTGTCTCCTGTCCAGGGCTGTGTCAGCACTGCCCTCTCCCTCCAGCACCCCCCTTCTCCTTCCTCTCTGGCTGTGCAGGGCCTCCTGGGCCAGGGGAGCCTCCCCGCAGGGTGGGGCTTCGGGCGGCCCCCAGGAGTCCGTGCCACCCTCACTGGCCCAGGTGCACTCCTGGCAGGCGGCCCCTCCGCCAGCTCTGTGCAGGAGCCGAGCCAAAGCCAGGCCTGGCCTGGCGCCCAGCCCCCTCCCTGCTCTGCTCACTCCCCTGCTGCTGGAGTGTGCCGGGGACCCCCTTTCTCTGCACTCCTGGCTTTGCACAGCCATGCTGGCCTGGCCCTGCCCCGGCTCCCTGTCACATTTCGCCCCGGAGCAGCATGTAACACTCGCTGGGCACGGGCAGACGGAGATCGGGCAAATCAGGCTCCACAGTGACAGAGAACTAGTCTTCTGTGCTGTAACGTCCACTGGGGCTGGCCCACCTGCCAAAGGCCCAAGGGAGCACAGCTGGCACTGCCCCGGGGAAGCTCGCAGCACCGCGGTCCCAGCTGGCACTGCCCCGGGGAAGCTCACAGCATCCCAGCCCCAGCTGGCACTGCCCCGGGGAAGCTGGTCCCAGCTGGCACTGCCAGCATCTCTGTCCCCAGAGCAGTTGGCTGGGGGAAGCTGGCCCTCCCATGCATTTCTCCCCTTGCAGTTGCGGCGGATGCAGGAGATGCTACAGAAGATCCAGAGACAGATGAAGGACTCCCACTAGCACCCAGCCCTTCCCGCTCTTGCCCCGCTCACAGAAATGTTTACGTCAAGCCCCAGCTGTCAGGGCCAGCTCTGCTGCTCAGTTCCAAAAAGGCACCCACAGCCTTACGCTGATGCAATGGACTCTCGCTGCGCTTTCCTCCAGCGACACACAGGAAATAAAGGCTGATCTGCGCCCGAGCTTCTGCAGCTGCCCCTTGGCCCCCCCCCCATGCCAGCTCTGGCTTGGACTCAGCCTGCTGCCTCGGCGGGCGCCTGCAACCCCCACCTTGCACATCCGCAGCTGATTCCCCAAGGTCTGAGTCAGGCTCAGCAAGGAGCCGTTTTCCTCAGGTTGAATGTGTGGTGGCCGGCTGTCTGCGTGTGGCCGGCTGTCTGCTCGTGACTGGCTGTCTGCGTATGACTGGCTGTCTGTGTGCGGCTGGCGGCCGGCTATCTGCGTGCGGCCGGCTGTCTACATGCAGCCAGAGACCGGCTGTCTGCATGTGACTGTCTGTCTGCGTGCGGCCGGCGGCCGGCTGTCTGTGTGCGACCGGCAGCCGGCTGTCTGCGTGTGGCCGGCTGTCTGCTCGTGACTGGCTGTCTGCGTATGACTGGCTGTCTGTGTGCGGCTGGCGGCCGGCTATCTGCGTGCGGCCGGCTGTCTACATGCAGCCAGAGACCGGCTGTCTGCATGTGACTGTCTGTCTGCGTGCGGCCGGCGGCCGGCTGTCTGTGTGCGACCGGCAGCCGGCTGTCTGCGTGTGGCCGGCTGTCTGCTCGTGACTGGCTGTCTGCGTATGACTGGCTGTCTGTGTGCGGCTGGCGGCCGGCTATCTGCGTGCGGCCGGCTGTCTACATGCAGCCAGAGACCGGCTGTCTGCATGTGACTGTCTGTCTGCGTGCGGCCGGCGGCCGGCTGTCTGTGTGCGACCGGCAGCCGGCTGTCTGCGTGTGGCCGGCTGTCTGCTCGTGACTGGCTGTCTGCGTATGACTGGCTGTCTGTGTGCGGCTGGCGGCCGGCTATCTGCGTGCGGCCGGCTGTCTACATGCAGCCAGAGACCGGCTGTCTGCATGTGACTGTCTGTCTGCGTGCGGCCGGCGGCCGGCTGTCTGTGTGCGACCGGCAGCCGGCTGTCTGCGTGTGGCCGGCTGTCTGCTCGTGACTGGCTGTCTGCGTATGACTGGCTGTCTGTGTGCGGCTGGCGGCCGGCTATCTGCGTGCGGCCGGCTGTCTACATGCAGCCAGAGACCGGCTGTCTGCATGTGACTGTCTGTCTGCGTGCGGCCGGCGGCCGGCTGTCTGTGTGCGACCGGCAGCCGGCTGTCTGCGTGTGGCCGGCTGTCTGCTCGTGACTGGCTGTCTGCGTATGACTGGCTGTCTGTGTGCGGCTGGCGGCCGGCTATCTGCGTGCGGCCGGCTGTCTACATGCAGCCAGAGACCGGCTGTCTGCATGTGACTGTCTGTCTGCGTGCGGCCGGCGGCCGGCTGTCTGTGTGCGACCGGCAGCCGGCTGTCTGCGTGTGGCCGGCTGTCTGCTCGTGACTGGCTGTCTGCGTATGACTGGCTGTCTGTGTGCGGCTGGCGGCCGGCTATCTGCGTGCGGCCGGCTGTCTACATGCAGCCAGAGACCGGCTGTCTGCATGTGACTGTCTGTCTGCGTGCGGCCGGCGGCCGGCTGTCTGTGTGCGACCGGCAGCCGGCTGTCTGCGTGTGGCCGGCTGTCTGCTCGTGACTGGCTGTCTGCGTATGACTGGCTGTCTGTGTGCGGCTGGCGGCCGGCTATCTGCGTGCGGCCGGCTGTCTACATGCAGCCAGAGACCGGCTGTCTGCATGTGACTGTCTGTCTGCGTGCGGCCGGCGGCCGGCTGTCTGTGTGCGACCGGCAGCCGGCTGTCTGCGTGTGGCCGGCTGTCTGCTCGTGACTGGCTGTCTGCGTATGACTGGCTGTCTGTGTGCGGCTGGCGGCCGGCTATCTGCGTGCGGCCGGCTGTCTACATGCAGCCAGAGACCGGCTGTCTGCATGTGACTGTCTGTCTGCGTGCGGCCGGCGGCCGGCTGTCTGTGTGCGACCGGCAGCCGGCTGTCTGCGTGTGGCCGGCTGTCTGCTCGTGACTGGCTGTCTGCGTATGACTGGCTGTCTGTGTGCGGCTGGCGGCCGGCTATCTGCGTGCGGCCGGCTGTCTACATGCAGCCAGAGACCGGCTGTCTGCATGTGACTGTCTGTCTGCGTGCGGCCGGCGGCCGGCTGTCTGTGTGCGACCGGCAGCCGGCTGTCTGCGTGTGGCCGGCTGTCTGCTCGTGACTGGCTGTCTGCGTATGACTGGCTGTCTGTGTGCGGCTGGCGGCCGGCTATCTGCGTGCGGCCGGCTGTCTGCGTGCGACCGGCTGTCTGTGTGTGGCTGACAGCCGGCTGACTGCGTGCGACCAGCTGAGTTTCACACGTTTTCCCACAAGGCTCCTGCAAAGAGCAGGCCTTGTGCTGCAGCGCAGTCCTGGGCCGTGGCTGGTTAGTGCGGCGCGTGTCCATGTGACCGCACTGCTCCCCAGTGGGGCTGTGGTTCCGTCCCGCGAGAGCCCGGCTCCCTTCCTGCAAAGCGTGAGCAGAGCAGGTGTATGGGATGGCAACGCAGCCAGGGCAGCGAGTTGCAGGCCCCGTGATCGTCCCTCTAGCTAGTGTGGGCAAAGAGCAGCGATGGCGCCACCCAGCAAAGCTTCCTGGGACGCCGGGTCCATGCTGCCCTAGGCCACATTCACACTTCGCTGGCTGGGCCCTGGGCCCTTGTGAGCTCCTCGCCAGCCCCCAGCTGAGAAGGGACCTGCCAGGCCCGGGCCCGACGGGCCGCGCTCTGGGCTCTCCTGTTCCTGCACTCACAGGCACAATGGGAAACCTTTGTGAGCCTTGGTCCAGACTGAAGACCTACCCCAGCGGTCCATTCTGGGGATGAGCCCTGGCTCACACAAGTAACGGGGCTGCCCTTCCAAACTGGAAGCAGCCTGTCCCAGGCCCTGCTCGCTGGCTGCCTGCACTGGGCCCCAGCAGAGGCGGACCCTGCGCTGGGCCCCAGCAGAGGCGGACAATGGAAGGAGCGTCGTCCCTGGCGTCTCCAGCCCAGCAAAGACCAGAAATCTCCCGGGCAGCCTGGTTCTCGTGAGTCGTCCCACCCAGCTCCGCTGCCTCGCTCACCGGCTCAGGCTTCCAGCAACGTGATTCGGTATCTCGGGGGCGCTGCAGGACCATTCGCTGTTTTCGGTTCCAGGCACTTTGGATCCATTCTGAGAAGCGGGTCAGCGTGGAGCACGACCCAGGCTCTGGAGGGGATCCCCTCCCTCCCCTGCACCAGCGCCCTCTCATTCCTGTGGGGCTCTCCCGTGCAGGCCCTGCCAGCGGCTGCCCGGGGCCAGATCTCTTAGCAGAGTGTGGAGTCCTCTCTCAGGAGGAGCCCATGTGGCGTCCGCTGCCTGTGTCCACGCCGAGGCAGCTGCAACCAGCCCCTTGGAAACGCGGGTCCCCTCACTGGACTCAGCCCCAGGGAGCGGCTGGGAACTCAGAAACGCCCACGGAGGCGACATTCAGGGAGCGGGGGATTTCCCAGACAGAGGGCCCGTCGAAGCAGCCGAGGCCCAGCCGAGTGACACCGATCACAGCGCCATTGCTCGCAGCCGCAGCCGGACTCCTGGGACCAAGAGCCTCCTGGCTTTGTAGCGCACAGAGGCCCTAGCGCGGCTGCCCTCCCTTCGCTCCTCCCTCGCCGCCACGGAACGCGCCAGCCCGTTCCTCCCGTCCAGACCAGCTGAGAGCAGAGGCCAGTGCTCTGGAAGTCCCCTCCACGCTGGTCTCCTTTCCTCCCTCAGTCTGTCCGACTGGCGCCGCACACCAGGGCCTGGGAAACACGAGCAGCCCAAGGCCCAGTTTGCATGTGCAGGGCCAACCGGCCAAGGCAAGAACTTTCCCCCCCAGGGGCTGGCTGCACGGTTGCTGCTCAGCGCGTCGCCAGCCCGAGCTGGGTTCTGTGGAGGCGTCGTTCATTGGCTGTCAGGGCAGGTTTCTTAGGCCTCTGGGGGCTTCGTTTCCCATTGGGGCGCAGCTGAGCTGTGCTGGGAAGTTCGGGGAGGCGGCCGCTTTCCACAAGCAGCCCCGTCCTGGCTCCGAGCCCGTGCTGGGCCTCCTGCCCCGTGGTGCCGGCGATGCTTTGTCTCTCCAGTGCTGCGGGACGACTGGCTGGTCTGTGAGTTTCCCTGCCTCTTGTGCTGCCTGCCCGGGCCCCCTCAGCGCCTCTCTGTTTGCAGCCCACTCAGCGGCGTGTATCTGGCTCCAGACTCTGGCTGTTTGGGGTATTCTGCTTCCGCGCCATTTTCCGCTCCCCAGCGCAGGCTGAGTCCTGCCAGCAATGCTGCTGGACGGGCCAGTCTGCCTCTCGGCCCCGGCGGTTGAGACGGGACCACAGTGGGCAGAGATGCACTCGGAGGAGCGGACGCTCAGCTGGAGCTGACTCCCCACCGCCCCCTGTAATCAGTGTAGCTCCAAGCAGCTTTTTCCCGGACAGCTGTGCTGGGCAGGGGGCCTGTAGGTCCTGCCACCGGCTGAGGGGACAGGACTGAGGCATGGAGAAAAGCAGGAACCTGTCCCACGGCATGAGTGCTGTGCTCTGCTTTCCTGAGTAGGCCAAAAAGCCAAAGGGTCTCTTCTCCCTGCGCAGGGCAGGAGAGCGCCCGGGATGGTTAGTGCTTCCCGTTCCTTTTTCATCTAGCTATTTTCTTACAGAAATCCCCGTCTTCGCATGATGGCCAGAAAGGCATCGATTAAAGTATAGAAAGAATCTAGGTTTATAAAACCTCACAGCTCTAGTGGAAGTATTTTATCCTTCCGCAAAGCTCTTGAGAAATATGGCTGACGAGACTTCCTGGGGGCTCTTGCAAAGGGTGTGTGTGTGTGTGTGTGTGTGTACTCACATGGCATGTGCACGCACAAGGGGTGGGGGGGCTTGTGTGTGTTAAGGGGTGTGCCAGTCAGAAGATTCCATGGTAAAAGTTACTGCCACAATGTCCCCAGTGCCAGGCAGATCCCGCCTGTGTGATGTCCCCAGTAGGGATGTTCATGATTGTGTAACTCCTGAAATGTTTACCAGTTACTTTTCAGCCAGCTTCCCATGTGAAGTGAAGTCCCCTGCCCCTCTTACACCTCCCCCCCCCCCCAA